TTGTAACTCTGGCCAAGATTTAATTTAAAATAAGAAAAAAAATTTATTCATTGAAATGAATGCAAATTTTTAAAAAATGAACGAATGAAAAAATTCTCTCTATAAACTATAAATAAAATATCATAAGAGGATCTTCCTTTATTACGAAAAGATTATTTTTATATCAATTTATATATTATTTCATTCCAAAAAATTTCATCAGCTTATTAATACAAATTATATAAAAAATATTTATATACATTTAGATTTTTTGTTCGTTTTTAGTTTTTGTCTATTCAGGACAAATTTATAGCGTTAATTCAGTGGATCCTGCAGCTGTAAAAAATGATTTTACGACACAGACAGTTTACGGATTCTTGGATTTTACAACGACGATCGGAAATACAGTTATGGTTTTCAGCCCTCAAAGTTCTCCACCAGGTTAATTCTACGATAAAAAAATAGCTATATTAGTTACCATAACTTTTACATTATTATTGGAATTGTGGATTTTTATAGAGGGAGACAAAACAAAAAGTCCTGGACCAGCGATACAAACAAAACCTATCGAGAAAAAGCCCATTCCAGATATTCAACCAAGTAAAACCCATAAGCCAAACAATCAAGGAGAAACTAAAAAACAAGCACAGAAAAACTCGAAAGTTGTGGTCAATTCTGTGGTCCAGCAAAATATTATCAATTTATCCGAAGATAAACAGAAACAAGTAATCAAAAGCGAAGTGGTAATCAATTTTAACGAAATTTACAACGTGTGAAATATCAAAAAAATAAATAATACTACGTTCTAGAGCTCGCATACTTCTATAAAAGCCACTACGGTGAATCCTGTCACTTCTTCCGTCGTTCAAGTCCAATCAAAGGAAGAGATTCTAGGAGTAAAAAATAATCTTGCTGAACCTGAATACGACTATTTATCGAAACAGCCAACTGAAGTCATCGACGAAACGTACAAGGTATATATCTTTACTTCATTAGCATATTTCTACCATTTACTTTTCTCTGATAATTAATCTTTTGAGTTATTATATATGTGTGTATATATAATATCATACATTTTAGTTGATCAATCTGAAACCTTCGAGTAAAATCGCTTCGAAACCAAGATCTGCTGCACGAAGAGAAAAAGAGAATCCAACTGGGTTAGTAACAAAACTCGGTGGTACTATTGTTAAAGACGGATTAACGACGGTTCATGAAACAAGTGTAATTGGCACGTACATCAATGGAAAGTACGCACAAGTTTTACAAAGTTCCTCTCGTATTATCGTCGGGACATCCTCGAATTTGGAGGGCAAAATAAGACCATCGAATACTCTCAGAATATTAAAGACGATTGGCCCACAACACGGAAAGTTAAAGCCACAGTTGGAACCTACGCCGACAAGTCAACAAGAAGAATCATCTTTACCATTGGAAATTCTATTCAGTGCACCGGCAGGTTGTTTATTTCCTTTAAAAACTTATAAATAAATATTAAAATTAGTAACTTGGATAGGAAAAACTATAAAATGCATTTTTTTTTTTTTTTCTTTATAACAGGTTCTTCCGTACGAACAACTCGAAGACATTCCACCGCCAACGCTAACCGTCCGAAATATCGTAGTAAAACTTCTGAAGATTATGATAATGCCGAGGTTCAAACGAGAACATCAACAAAACAACGTGCTACCACGGCGCGACCAAATTACAAGTATATAAATAAATTATACGATTGATCGGTAGATAATAATAAAATTTCTTTTGTAAATGTCACGTTACGTAGATCTTTTCAATCATTGGGAAAACTCTTGAACACATTTATTTCATATTTTAGAAATCGTGTTCAGAACGAAGGGAAATCATCAACCACGACACAGGAACCACAAACGACTCGTCGTCGTACCAGCTTCAGACCAAGCAATCAGGCAAATTCCTCCCCGAGGCAAACCAATAAACAGAAGAATCAACAGCCACAGCAACAACAACAGCAACAGACAACGTCAACGAGTCCCTTGCCTAAATTGAAACTTCCAAGAACTCAGGGTCGATGGTCATATAAAACTACTCCTAAACCAAGAATCACAATTCGTAAGCAAGTCGATGAGGATGATCCACGTGTATCGACCGAAACAGTTATAACTGAACAGGCATCAACACCAGGCGATGATAAAGGTAGCAGTACTACTTCCGTTGGAGTCATTACGACGACAACTACAGCTACAACCTCTAATGGTCAACGGAAGGCCCCAGAAACGTCATTGTCGAACGAAGAACTCGATCCAAGCGAGTCGGAAGATGTACCTCACGTTAGCGTACAAGATCAGATACACGCGGATCAAACTTTACCGATAGAAACTCTTAATGTTGAGATTTCAACGGCCGCCAATCTCAATGACGTTTATTTTGAAATAGCCACGATTAAATCTCCTTATACGTTTCAGGTAAACTAGATTTAATTAATAACAAATGATGATTTAATTATATGATATAATATACAAAATATCGTTAAAATCATATTCTTTTCTTTTAGGTGGGAACTTTACGAAACACACGTTACATAACGGTTACGTCTACAATGAAAAAGTCGTTTGCAGTACCTGAACCTACGAGTACTTTGCCAATGACGGAACCTCTGACTGAGAACATCTTAGCAAATACAGGAGCGGCTTACGAAACAAGTCTGCCACTTGATTCTTCCGTAGCTACGCTTCCAGCGATATCTTTAGATGCTGGTCAAGTAACACCACCGTTAGAAACACTTACAGAAACATTTTCGACTACTCAAACTCTCTTGAAAACTCATTTGTTACCGGTGATACATGATGGCAATACCACAAAATTGACTCTCGTTCAGACCTACAACATAGCTCGATCGGTTACCGCTACGAAAACTCTACCACCAATGGAAATTTATCAATTTATTCCTAGTAAAACATTGAACGAATTCAATTCAAAACTGGAAGAGGCTGGAAGCGAGCTTCATTTGGAATTAGATTTCGGTGACGAGGACAGAGACGACGAAGATATCCCTAAAAGAATTGTAGCACCTAGCAGCGATGTATATTCCGAATTAGATCTCTTCAGATCGGTGACACCTACAAAGGTAAAATCAGATACGCCTAGTACTAGTTCAGCCGAACCACAACTTTCTCTCGAGCAAGCACAGCAACTTGCTTTGCTCAAATATTTCGGGCAACCTCAACAGCAAGTAATCACGACTTCGAGACCCGTCGTAGTGCTTGAAACCGTTTACGAATCTCACGTAATACCAATAGTTAATAACGGAAATACGCATTACTCGACTTTATCCAGACCGGTAGCTACCGTACCAAGGACATCCTACGAATACTCGACATCTACAATTCCACCTGTTCTTCCACCTCCAATACCTCAGGTACCACTTTTTCCGCAACAACAACCTCAATTTACAGTCACAAGTGCACCGCTTGTCACACAAACTTTAGTGACCGTATCGGACTCAAGAGTGCTCAAACTAACATTCGGAGCAAAGACGGCATACACCACATTGTTCTCTACTAAAGTAGTACCGACAGAACTTACGACGTACGTGACGAGCACCATACCTTTACAACCAACCATTCCAGCTTTTCCTGGTTATTATCCTCCACCAGTTGGTTACCCTCCTTTCCCTTATGTAGGGTAATAATCCTTGCTTTGTTCTATAGAATTCTTGCAAGGAGGAAGCTTAAATTACACTTTGGTTACGTAGATGCATGTTAGATGAGAACTTTTCTAGTACTTACCTACATAATGATATTTTTCAAATAGCATACATCTACTACCTCAGACAAAGGTGCTAAAAAATATTAGCTTCCTACCAATTGAACGGATTACAAACGAGTTACAAACAAACAATTTCTCTTGGCTCATCATTTCATATTTAATGTGAAAACATCTTTTCATTTATTCGTTAGAATTGTTTAAGAAAAAACAATGCATGATCATATCATAAATTTAACAATTTAATTATTCTTCAAACATAACCGTGACATATCGAATATTTTCAAAATCTTTATTTATATGTTCAATGAAATTGAATTACAATTAAAAAGAAGATTATTAAGAAGGTGAAACTCTAGGAAAGAAGAAAGAGAGCGATCATGAAGAAAGAATTAGCCAGATCATGGATAAATATTGTAGATCAGTACAAAAACGAAGAAATGATTTAACAAACATTCTTCTTATCGATATCAGGTATTAAGGGAAACCTTAATATAAGTATAATTAAATAATACGCATATACCATTTTATGTTCTGTTGGCAGAAAGAAATTTTTGTAAATAAGTTATTAAATATATTATATTATCTCTCGTGTATTATTATATGTATGTATTACGAATTTTGTAAATAAAGTTTTAAAAGCTCTTACAATCTTCCTCTTGGTATCATTATGTTTTAATCAATATGTCTATTAATATATACAAATGATTAAATTAATTGCATGAATAAAATTTGTAATGCAAACATAATGAGATATTAAATTCTCGTTCTATCAAATGATATTAAATAACCAATGTAAGCCTTCAACGCTCTACTACGCACGACAAAAATGATTCAGGATTGGTTGATTTCTAAAGCATTCTATAATACCCAATATAAGACATCTTTCATGAAAAGATATTCTTAAAAAAAAATATAACAATGAAATTTTGTTATATATAAAATATTATTGTATATATGATTCATGAAATAAATACATTTTCATAAATATATCGTTCATTTTTTACTTTTGCAACTGCTTCTTTTCAACTGTACTTCTTATACTTGGCCTGCAAGATAAAGATACAGGAAATATAAAAGAATATTCACAAAAAGGATCATACTGATGAATAAAGAAAAAAATAAAAAAAGATGAAAATCCCATAAAAAATGTCTAGAAAAAATTTTTCCTTTTTATTTACATTTTTCTTTTTATTATCGTACTATGGGAAAAAAATGAATTTATAATTCCAGGTGTTATTTAATTACCGGAAGTGTAGCTTCGTCTTATTTGCCGCCAAAGTCCACCGAAGGCTATGTGTGGATATTGTTTATAGTTTCATGTGCGGTTTTGCAATTTCATTAGAAACAAAAGTGAAATTCGTTCTATTAAGAAGGATTCAACAATATTATTAATCTTAAATTAAATAATCTAATCAATAAGAAAGACTTTGGTTTCTTAATTTTTTTGAGAAAATCTACGATGGCTAAGGTACAGCTAGCAAATGTAGCGGTTCTTGACAACCCTTCGCCGTTTCTAAATCCTTTTCAATTCGAAGTAACCTTTGAATGCATTGAAGATTTAAAAGAAGGTATTATTTATACGATATTTTACATGTTTATATCTTTTATATCACGCCTTAGACTCGATTAATGCACATAATTACGTTCATAACCTATGTTTCTTTATAATGCTAGGTTAGTTTCTTTATTTTAATAATACTTTTTTGTAGGATAATATCAAATTCCATGTTTAACGAAATACATTAATTTCTACTTTGATTTCTGTATCAATTTCTTGGTTTAGTATTTTTATAAAATCTATACATTCTACTTTTATATTTGTGATTTGAAAATAGATTTTATATCAATAATATTATTGTAGATCTAGAATGGAAAATGATCTACGTTGGCAGTGCAGAATCAGAAGAATTCGATCAAGTCTTAGACACCATATATGTTGGACCAATTCCAGAAGGACGGCATATGTTTGTCTTTCAGGTAAATGTCATATTTAAATGTTGTATTGTTGTATTTTTATTATACTATCTATTAATTAATTTTTTGTTTAGGCGGATCCTCCTGATGTAAGTAGAATTCCTGTGAATGACGCATTAGGTGTCACAGTAGTGCTCTTAACATGCTCCTATAGGGGCCATGAGTTTGTGCGTGTTGGCTATTTTATAAACAACGAGTATACAGATCCTGAACTCAGAGAAAATCCTCCACCTCAACCTCAGTTTGACAAAGTGCAAAGAAATATCTTAGGTGATAAACCACGTGTTACAAGATTTAAAATTAATTGGGATGACGGTGCAAGTTCTACAGAAAATAGTGTACCGGAAGGTATAGAGGCGCCAAACTTAGAAGAAACATCGCAAGATGCCCCAACATCTACATTAGGTTTTACAGAGAATGCACAAAATAGCATGGAAGTGATGTAAACATATTTCTGTCTACTAAATAAGATAACTGAATTATTGCTCAGACTTACTTAAATATCTGAGTACTACCTGAAAAAGAAAAAAACAAAGCTCTTCACATATTTAAATAATTTAAGAAGCAAGCAAAATACTTTTTTGAAACATCAGTTAATATCAAGAGCGTACTTATCGGATGTGAGATGATATTATGTAAAATGCAATAATATCTTAAATCATTGACATCATGCTTATATTGTTAAATTATAAACATTTCTTTGGTTGAAACTTTTGCTCTCATAGATCAATGTAATCTTTCATGCAAAATTAGATATTGATGATTTATGTGTAATTTGTTTTTGATTTATAATATTTTGTAAAAGTTGAAAAGTAGATTATATAACCTCATTTAATTTTAATGATATGATAAAAAGTTCGAGAAACGAAAAAAACAATCTTGTATATTGTATAAGATAGAAGTTATTTTCAAAAAAAAAAAAAAGAAAAAAGAAAAAAGAAAAAAAATATTTTGTTAGGATTTATGATGTAACATCGGATATATAAGAATTAAAATAACATTCGTTTTAAAAAATTAATTACCTTCAATAATATTTTTCGATCCATCAGTTTATTTTTCAAGAATGTACTTTTGTAGTACATTATAAATATTGATCATAAGTATAAGTCTATCACAGTGCTTAAGCATTTTATTTAATTATAAGAAATAAAACGGGATTTCCAACAAAACATTGATATATATATTAAATCAATTTGCAAACAAAATGTAAACTGATAGCATTTAAAAAATTTTATGAAATTTGTATAAAGTCACATAACTTTTAGAGATAGCCAGAATGTATTGTTGGAAATACCGATTACTTCTTTTACACCATATTAACTGTAAAATCCGATGCTACGCTAGCTTGATGGGATATTAAAACTTCTATTTTACTAGTGTATATACTATGAAAAGTTGATGAAAAATACATAAAAAGTTTTCTACTTGAATATTTTTTCTTATTTACCTACATATATATACAATGCAGAAAATTCATCACACAAATAATCTTCAAATCAATCTTATCGATATATAGTATTGAATTTATCGCTAAATTTAAAAAAAAAAATTAAATAGATAAATAGTCGATAAGTTTCATTTGAAAAGATACGAGCATTAGCTATAACGCATGTGCACAGTCTTTGATCTTGTATCATCAAAGCTCTAAACACTAGTAGGAAAAATTAAAATTTTTATAGTGAAAACTGGTAACTTAATTAAAAAAAATGTCAAAAGAAAAAAATCTAACATATATCTTTATATTAAAATCATTTGAGTGCAATTGTTCTTGAAAACTGATGTTTAAAAAAAAGATATATATATATAACAATAATATTGTACTTTATATGGAGTATATATCTATATACTCTGTATTAGTTCCTTGTTTTCTCACATGGCGTGATAGTGGATCTTTTCAATGTAAACCGTGCATTATATGTTGCAATACGAAATCAATATTCAACTGACTTCTAGAGAGAGGTATGCGTTGCGCACGAATGTCAAAATCGAATAAATAGTCGTCTGCAGTAGCAGCCGAAGTGGACATCTGCAGACGTGATAACACGAGTAATCGGAGTGGATGACGATCATAAGTTTTTTTTTCCCTTCTTACCATAAACGTGTTCGAGTTTACGTGTAGTTAGTTCGGAAGTTTTAGAATTTCCACCGATGATCATCAAATTACAGACGGGGATTTCTGAAGGAGCCGTGTGGCGGCGAACAAAGCCGCCCTTACAAATTTAAAGAAGGAATGACGCTGGAGAATCCTTTTTTTGTCGTCAAAGAGTAAGTTCCATTCAAAATTAAGTATCATTCATTATTCGAAATTTAGAAAAAAGAAAGAACAGAAACAAAAAAGAAACAAAAACATTACCGAAGTATGGCGCTTTTATTTGACAGCTACACACGAATAGAATGTCACGTTCTTTTGTTTAAGAATTAATCAGATTATTTAAATACTTATCTAGATTCTTATTTTTGTTAATTTTATCGATATATTAAAAAGTTATATATTATGTGCAAATGTCATGGAAACAATTGTCAGAGATTCTTGTCAACGTTTACAACAAAATGTAATGTTATCTTTTGGTAAATAGCTGTGATATTACACGGACTGTGACCACGTTTAATGATTACGTGCAATCACGTTATTTACGAACATTGCTTCCAACGATGTAAACAATCGACGATATTGCAGACGAATGTTATATTTTTTATTTAACTTAATAAGCTCAAAAAAATATATATATATTATATATGAAAGAAGTAATAACTCATGAATACATAATAATCTTTATATGTATAATCCTTTTTTAAGTGGCAAATTCAAACCAATTTAAAGAAAGAAAAATATTGTTAGAAATTCGATAAAGTAATTAATAATGAAAGATTTCATTTATACTATGATATAACCTAAAGATAATTTTTTTATAATCGATCTATACAAAATCCGCGGCTTATTCATTTCAGCGAGGTTTGCAAAGCTCTAAATAAAAATCGAGGTTTATACGGCCGCTGGACGGAATTACAAAATGTCGTTACTAGTCCTACAATAAACGGTGGAGGGGGAATTCCGATTTCGCGCGAAGAATTGGATTGGACGACAACAGAGTTGCGAAAAGCGCTACGCTCGATCGAGTGGGATCTTGATGATCTAGAGGACACTATTTATATCCTTTAATACGTATTCGACATTATTTATATTAATTATAATGATTTTAAGACAAAATTTTTTTTATTTTTATTTGATAAAAAAATAATTATAGTTTTTTAAATATTTCAATATTTATTTTTTTACGAGAAAAATATAAGAAAAATTTTATTGGTGTTACATATATATATGTAACACTAATTATATATATATATATAATTATATATATATATATAATTATATATATATATATAATTATATATATATATATATATATATATGTATATACATATATATTAAACATATATATTAGAATCTATACTTCATTTGAATCGAATTAGATGAGTTCGATATATTTTGAAATGATTTCGATTATATCCTTAATATATACAAATTTATACGTATCGTAGAGAAAAACCCAACGAAATTTAAAATCGATAATAAAGAACTAAGCGTTCAACGAAGTTTTATCGAACAAACACGAGAAGAAGTAAAGGTAAAAAAGAAATTATTAAAAAAGTTAGTTCAAAATCTATATACAAGTTTATGTTCTATCACATAAGTATAATGAGAAATGAAACTCCTTTAACGTGTTTGTTTCTTGTAGATTATGAAAGATAAGATGAATTTAAGTAGGGGCAGGGACCGTGATAGCACGGCAAGACAGGTACGTAATAAGTTAATATTTGATTGTAAAAAATCATACGTGTTTATTTTTTTTTTTTTTTTTTTTTTTTTTTTTTTTTTTTTTTTTTTTTTTTTTTTATTAAAAATTGTTGAGAACTACACTTTAATTTCATAAAGTCAATGTTCAGCTTAAATATCTACGATATAAAGCTGTCTTGATTAGTTATCTTATCAATGACAAGATTATCGATATTATTTTTCTTTGGAAATGTAATTTTTTGTCACGATGAAAAATCTTTTATATCTTATATTTATATATTTTTTTCTATTTATTTAAAGTACATATCACATAATAAGTATCTACCATTTAAATTAGACAATTTTTTATCTATTCCATTCATAAACATAAATATTATTAACATAAAGAATTTACTATAGGTTATGTAATGCATAATTATTTAACAATAAAAAGAGAAAAGTGAAAAAATGGTAAAACTAAGTTTTATATCATTTAATTAATTTGATTATTCGAAATGCACCAATCAACGATTAGATTCATACTGTGCATATTTATATGAACTTCCTATCAAATGTAGTAAGATCATATTTATTGTGATTGGTTACATGATGTGCCTATAGTACTATTTTACTATTGTTGAAATTAATAGAGATTAATATCAATGGAAAGACGATATATATTAATTCTATGAAAATTGTTATTTATAATGAAGTTAAGTAATCATTAAGAAATGTAATGAGTTTACATATAATAAATAAATAATAATAAAAGAAAATTGAATTTAATATATTTATATATGTATTTTCTAATAACTTTAATAAAGATTGTACTATGTTGTTATAAAATAAAATAAATTTTAATGATTCAGAAAGAATAAATTTCAGTATATATCATGAGTTATGACAATGAAAAAATGGTTTACACGGTAAATGATATTTCGGAAGGATTGATTTATTATATGTTTTCGATATTAAAATAGTAGATGTACAACAATTTTTATGGTAATTAATCTTTCAGCCCCTTTTGGATAATAGTCCCGCTCGTGTTCCTGTCAATCATTCTTCAACTAAATATAGTAAGCTTGAAAATGAGACAGATAGTCCAAATAGACAATTTCTTGGCGATACTCTACAACAACAGAATGACATGATGAGGCAACAAGATGAACAATTAGAAATAATAGGAGAAAGTATTGGTACACTCAAAACAGTGTCTAAACAGATCAACTCAGAATTAGATGAACAAGCAATGTAAGCTTACAAAGTTTTTGTTTTATGATGTATTATGATTGTTATACAATTATTTTGTTCTAATTGCTGTATTACTAATACTTATAAATGGTTTATATGGATTATAGTATGCTGGATGAATTTGGTAATGAATTAGAAACAACAGGCTTTAAGTTAGATGCAACAATGAAGAAAATGGCTAAAGTTCTCCACATGAGTAACGGTAATTATAACAATTACATTCCTGCCCCTACCACAGCTACATCTACTGTATCTGATCTTACCTCTAAGCCTTCTTCTTTATCTTCTTTATCAACTACAATAACTAATTGCTTCTTATGTGCTGGAGATTAGATGTTTATTATTATTATATACCATAATTATTCAGTAGGAAAATGGAATATTTTTTCCATGAGTAATAATTATTCAAATTAGAAAATATAGCAGTATTCAAAAGTAATCACTGAAGAATTATGGAATTGTTTATATTAAATAGATTAATAATGTTATGATTTTTTACAACATTCTGAAATCTCTACTGCATTTTATTATTCTTAAAACATCAAAACACCATTTTGACATTATTTTAAATGAACTGAGTACTCATCTATTTTTGCACTCTTTTTGGAAGAATTTTCTTATTTAATATTTGCATTAGCAAGCAAGCGTCTATTAATTTAAACATTTTTAATTTTACTCTTATTTTATATTATTTTAATGTATAGTATCGTATGCTCAATACCCTCTGTTTGATGTTACTAGTAATTGTATCACTATTGCTGTACTACCACAGTGGACACTACATACAAGATACAGGATATCAATATACCTGTAATACTCATATTAATATGTTTTTTAATGGATATAAAGAAAAGTACTTGATGTTTAATTTCTCAAATACAATAACTTTTCATCTATATTACGTAATTGTTATAAAAAATGAGACATAGTTAGATATTCATGTTAGAAAAGAATATCTATTTTTTGTTGTTGTTCTGTATATAATATAATTTTTATATTTTTTTTCCAATTTTTTATGTTCCTATATCTATAATTATAATAAAAAGTATATAATGACAAATAATGTTAAAAAAATATGAAAACTAAATTACACATATTTGAAGTCCTATAATTGTAATAGTTTATTTTTGCAAGATAAATGTACCAAATGATTATTAAATACAGTCCAAGTATTTGAAGCTAATTAATAGTAAGAAGATAACAAACCAACAAGAAGATATAATCACATTGCTATAATAATTTGCTGAATTGCCCAGTGAATATACAATTTTAGGAAGTAAATTATTTAATCCTTCTTAAATACTTGGGCAAATATATAGTTCTCAATTTTAAAAAGGACCACTTTGAAAGGATACTTTTCTGTAGATATAGTTGGAAAAGATATACATTAATATATATACAAGAAAATTAAAGTAATGATTATATATATATATATATATATATATATATATATATATATATATATATATATATATATATAAGTGCAATAAGCACTACACAATGTGTTAAAGAAACTATAAACAGTAACAATAAACACTGTTGACATAATACTTAATAAGAAAAATATGTAGATAAATTAAAATAATATAGTTAATATTTTGTTCAAGTAAAATTAACAAGCATTACCAATGCCAAAAATTATAAAGCATATGTCAAGCAGAATTTTAAGTAGGAAGGGTAAGCACAAGAGCTTGTGTGCCTGATAAAGATTTAATACGACAAAATTATGCATAGCATTAGATAAATTTTCTATAATATTTGGATGTTGGAAATATCTCATACACTAGTACTTCCAATGTACACAATGTGATATCAGTGTGCTAAGTGATTTAAAGTTCAAGTCTATATAACGGAAATTTTGGTGGGTATCGAAATATTGAATGTGTCTCTTAGCATACCCTTATTAAATATGTACATACATAACATTTCTAAGCTGCTCAATTAAATGCATTTAGAAATAGGATTGAATATTTGTATGTATGATGGTTGAGATTGATTGTTTCTTTAGAATACATATTGTTAACGAATGTCAGAAATTTTAGCAATTAAAAAGTATTTGTCCCTTTAGGACAAATTCAAAGATACAATATATGTATAGATCATTTAAAAAAAAATACAAATATTATAATCTTATGAGAGACTTCATATCAAAATAAAATGGTATTTCAGTATGTAATTAGCAAAAGATAATAAACTATCTATTTCTCATATATATGACCAATTGTGAAAAAATAATAAAATTTAGAAATATACTTGCATATTATTTAATATATATTACTGTAAAAATACCATAAATATTCCTGATCCATAAATACATGTTCAAATATAATGTTGAACTTGTATTTAATCAACTGGTTTTATTAAATTTTGTGGTTGAAAGACTTCATTGATTTAGAGAACGTTAATATTTTATTTAGGTAATGAAATTCATTACTTCTTATAGAAAATATTTAGAAAGGGTTAAAGTGAAATCTCTCAACCATATGTATAATGGAATTATTTATCTTGAACTAAAAGAAATATATACTGAAAACAAAATCTAAAATAGTAATGCATGTGAAAAATGTTAATGTACAATGTATTTGAAGAAGGGCCAAATATAAAATTAAATTTTGCTTGTACTCGTATTCGAGATTTTTATTGCCACTGCTTTTAAAAAATCATGTCTAGACATATTTATATAAGTGACGTATATGATATTACTTTCGTTTGTTTTAGATCGGAGACAATGGGTAGCTATTGGAGTGTTGACTGCTATATTGGTATTATTAATAATTTTGTTCATAATAACATGAATTTCTTAGTTTTATATTACCTGTACAAACGATTGATTCTTCTTCATAGAATTCAATATAATTTAATATAAAAAATATTTTTTTCTTTTTGTTGCATATATTTCTAATAAGAATATTTTATGATGATATATAAAATAAAAGCATACTTACATTAGAATATGCAACACTTTTTCAAAGTTTCCTTTCCTAAAAATTTAATAATGATCGATGATCTTTTTTTTCTTTATCTTTGAAATGCAACAAATGGATATAATCGATAATTAAATTTAATTGCAAAATTTTCTTTATTTAGGTTTCTATCTTCATCGTTACGTCAACTTATATTATATATTAATCGGCAATTGTATAAAATGTTCTATTATATTCTATTTTCTATATAAAAAAAATACACAATATGCATAAATACGTTGTATAATGTTACGATATGTATATTCGATTTGAAAATTAAATAATATTATCCAATATGTATTTTTTAAAATAATATATAAAGATGTGGTGTCAAATTTGTCAAAAGGACAATCGATAGCTGATTTAACTCAACTTAAATTTTTTTGTAACATCTTAGTATTTACTTTTCCTAATTGAAATAAATTTTATGGGTAATTCCAAATATAAGAATACATTATATATAAAATTTTTACGAATTACGTTTATGTATATAATCAAAAGTTATATAAAATTAAAGATTTGAAGATCCTACATAGTTGGTCATATTGTATAAACTATAAAAAAATCTTTGGTGTAATCTTTATTATTGCAATTATTTGCTTCTTACGATAGCAAATATGTAAAAAATAAAAAAGCTTTTTCTTAAAAAATGCGCATATTAAATAAAATGTTATACGATTTAATAGCTTGGAGCTATTATAAATGTGCAATATATTAAAGTATTACTATTATTTTAATAGTAATACTTTTTAAAGTATTACTATTAAATTTTTAATAGTTATACTTTAAAAAGTATTACTATTAAAATCTATTATTTTATTCATTATACTACATGTATGAATTTATTAAGGCACCTTTTTGATATGAAAGCTGGAAAGTTGTTCTTTCAGAGAACATCTAAATACGATAAATCTATCGTATATAATCTTTAGAATAAACTTCAGGAAATGTCTGTATATTCAAATAGTGCCCTTTTCAAGTATTATAATTATGGCTCTAAACGTACACGTTTAAAACAGTCTGCAGGCAAAGCTTTTCTTATGTCATCAATATTTTCAACTTCTATTCTTAATCTATTGACCTCGTCTTCATAATTTTTAACCCATTGCGTTTGCATATTCTTTGCATCTGTTAATGTTTTAATTCTCTGATCTAAATTGGCAGCTTTAATTTCTTTTTCTGCTGCAGTTAAACGCTCTTCTAAATGATTCAAATGTGTATCATCTGTATAATAGAAATTCGATTAATCACAATAGTTCCTATATCATAAAAAAATATTTACAAATTATAACTTATATACTGACCTAGTTCAGGAAGATCTTCAAGTTCTTTTATGATTTCAGCTATATCTGATAATGCTTTATCGACATACGTTGCAGTTAAACCTACATTGATTTTTGCTTGTCCAACTTTATGATTTGCCTATAAAATAATTATATTATAAATTATATATTATCCATCTATTCTTATACATTTATACTTTATCACTATTTTATTAATTCTTTTATCGTTACCTCTGTAGTAACATTCGTATCTTTTCCAACTTGGATTTCATAATCTTTCATTAAAGAATCTGTAGTATCAACTCTGAGATGTAATATCTCTGCTTCGTTACCTAAACGCAATGCCTCTAATTTAGTCCTATTTGCCTGCATTCTAATATCATTTGCATTTTTACTAGCTTTCTCTGCATATGTCTGGCAATAAAATAAACAGATTAAACAAATTCCATTTTTAATATGTTTTATAAATTATAACATTGAAATTATAAATTTACCTGTGCATGTTGCGCTTTTTCATTTGCACTTTTTGCATTATTCTCAGACCCATTTAATATCTTCTCAAGTTGGAAAATATCTTCTATCGCAGTTTGAATCATTACCTCAATTTTTTTAGTGCTTTTCAGTGCATCTTGAGCTTTGATACGTTCGCGTTGCACTTCATCGTCAAATTCTAAATAAAATAGTATAGTTTCATCATATTAACATTATTACATTAATATTGACAATAATTAACATCTTACCTCCTAATTTTTTTAAAGTTTCTTGCGCTTCTTTCAACGTTTGATCACCACGTTTGACAGCACTGTTTGCTTTTTCATTCGCACCGTCTAATTCTGCAAGCAATTCTGCAGTAGCTGCTTGTTGATCTTGTGCTTTATCCAATAATTGTTCACTCTTCCGTACTTTTTCAGTCATTTCATTAATGAATTTCTCATTTTGTTCTAATATTAATTGTGCTTGTTCTTTTAATCGTAATCCCTAAAAGAAATAAAAATAAAACAGAAAATAAAAATCTTATTTTATAATGAATAAATAAAATAAAATTCTTACTTCATTGCTGATAGCATCTACTTGAGTTTGAAATAGGTCAACGTTTACGGAAGGAAGAGAAAGATCTAATATAGATAAATCTAATGCTTCCTGAGATACTGCAAATGACTTTGCACTTGCAATTGCTGTAAGATTCTTCACTTCATTCATACGATCCTCTAATGTTTCCAATTTGTTTTCTAATTCTCTTAAAATATCCCTAATATAATAGAAAAACAATTTTCATATAATTTTCATCATTTCACGTTTATATTTACGATTATAAAAAAATATTTTGAAAAACGATACATACGTCATGTTTGAATTTTTAGCTATCGCCTTTTTAGCAAGATTATAAGCTTCTAAGGACGTAATTCGAGCTTGTTCAGCCAGCATATGAATTTTCTTAGCTTCATTGGTATTACTGTAAAAAATTAATATCACTAATATTATTAATGTATCCATACGTACAGATGTTACATATGATGAATGAAATGTTGTACATACAAATCAGCTAAAATACGCGCTTCGTGTGCTATAGCTGTCATCTGTTGATTTTGTTGACCAACTTGATCAGCACGTAATTTGGCTTCTATTAATGCCATTGCTCCATCTGTAGCTAAATAATCTTCCGCTTCCTATTATTATTAATATATATACATTTCACACATATTCATTTGTAATGTATTATATAATTGAAGTATATATATTTCATTAACTCACAGTCAATTGATCATGTATTTTGTCTAACACTGTCTCTGCTGTATTAACATTTGCTAATCCTTCCGTAGTAGTCTTATATGCTTCAGCTGCTGTAATGTTTACTGTTTGTGAAATAAAACCTATTTCAGTCAATTGGCTATTCAATTCATCAAGTTGCTCAACGAGTGTTTTATTTCCACCTAAAATATCAATATTAATGTCAAATTTAGTATAAAACAAGAAAACAATGTATAAATAAATTTATAAACTTATATTTACTTCCAGACTCTTGCTTGGCAATATCCAGCAAATTCTTAACTTTGTTCTGAACATTTTTTAATTCCTTCTCAAAGTCTGAATCTTTTATGACAGTTGGACTACTATTGATCTTTTTAAGTGTATTCTCTAATTCTGATAAACGTTGCCTATGTTTATCGACTGCAGATTGAACTAGATTATAACAATCAGGACAATCGATGCAACCATTTTGTCTATTATATTTATTTTCTTTACAGCGATCGCAACGTCTTCCTTCTACGTTTGTAAGGCACTGTAATAAAAAGAAAATATGATGAATTAAAATAAAAAGATAACAATAAAGAACATTTATATTCATATAAACATACAAGACATTGTCCACTGGCATCGCATTGAAGATCTTGAGATCCAATTCTATCACAATCACAAGGTTTACAACCTTCTCTACTAAAACCAAACTGATATGGTAAACAAGTATCACAACGTTGACCAGTTATTCCTGGTCTACATTGACACTGACCAGTAACAGCATTACAAGTTCGATTATAAGATCCCTCAGAATCGCAATTACAAGGTGTACATCCCTAAAATATTTATGTACATATATGTATATGAACATAATCTATACTATTTCATAGCTTTGTTTGCATGTATTATCTTATTTAATTATGCATTCACCTCGCCACTTAATATATGATAATATCCATCCTCACATTTATCACAGTTACGGCCTATTACATGGGGTTTACAGAGACAATGACCTACAAGCTGATCGCAAGGAGCGACTCTTCCATCTTCGAGTTCAACTGTACCTGGTGGATAACACTGACACAATTTGCATCCATCTTCTCTACTATCAGATAAAGCATCTCCATAATAACCTAATGAATGATTTATTAAAGCTCATGAGACATGCCACTATTTCCAAAAATATTATAAAAATTGTGTTAAATTGTTCTCTTAATATACCCGAAAGACATTCTTCACAATGAAAGCCAGCAGTGTTATTGACACATT